AAATTGTAGATAAATTGTAGACTGTTTTTTGCAGAAGATTTTGTAGAAGTTTTAGTCGTTTTGGATTTGTCAAAACAGAAAATAATGCATCTACAATCAGAATACAAATAATCTATAATTTATCTACAAAATATCTACAAACTGGATACATTGAATTTTAATATCCCAATTCCCATTTCAATTGTAGATAATTTGTAGATATAGTGAAAATTTTGTAGTCATCCATTTTAGGATGTCAAAAATTTTGAAATCAACAATTTCTAATAATAGATTATAGTTTATTTTGTCGTATAAATGGAGTAACTTTGTAGATAATTTTGAAAACAATATTGCTTTATTCTTTCATTAAACTGATTTGTAGTTTAATTGTAGGCAAATGTAGTAATTTTGTAGATAATACCGTAAAACCATAATTCTATGCAATTTCGAACTATACAAACCTGCACTTGTGTTATCGTTGGTGATTGCCAATTCCATATTGAAATCTCGTACACTTATACATAACGGATATGAACCTAAGTTTTTGGTCTCCATATACAGACGGACCCCCATATCATTCTAAATTTTTTCGTTTTTTTGGATTTCTAGATTGAGAGGAAAAAAGATGAAGAACAGATATATGATCGCCAATTTGATTTCTGAAAACGACGAAGAACAAAATATAGCAATTTTGAGTTGTTGAATCTCGAAGATTTGAATTCTACAATTTGAATTCAGTTTGTTGAAGTACTTTTTTTTTGTTAAATTTTTGAATTGTAGTTTAAGAGTAAATTACGCAGATGCGAAATCTCCTTTCCCTTTCAAAACTTGAATTTAATGTAGAATAAATCAATCCCAAGATTCTTTCCTGATTTTTCGCGCATTATTAAGGGAAGATTCTGCCCTATTAATTCCTAATAAATGAATGGTACAGAAATTGTAGGAAAAATGTGGACTGGGCGGGTAATTTAGATACCATACACATATTTGGTAATAAAGTTTCATATATGGTATAGGAAAGAAAAAAATCCCTTTTAGAAAAAGGAAAAGCCCAAGTTGCTCTTGTCTGGGCCTAAGTACAAATTGCGGCATCAATGCTCCAGTAATCAAATGTTAATGACAATGAAATTAAGCTTCAATATTCATTTTGCCGTGTAAGTTTAGCATAGTAATCTTGGATCGCAGATTTGGATGAAGAATAATTTGGACTCATTCTACTATACGAAGAAGATCGTAACCATTGAGTTATGAGCAAAATTCATTTATAGCACATCGGGCCAAACATACATCACCCGGCAGCCAAAAATTGACCCATATAAGTCATAGCCTAAAAACAAATAAAACGGTTAGCAACTGAAAAACCTGAAAGTGCTGCCACTGAGGAAAATCGGATTCTTCAAGCCGTACGTTGTGATGCTTCGAGTGGAAGGTAACCAACTTATTCCTGTACTTGTGCATTTTTACAACTAGTTCTATTTTGAATTTTACCTTGATGATTAAAAACTACTAATTGTTTTATATACAAACATAATTCTAAACAAATAAAAAATTTCAAATACTAGGAAAAAAGGGAATTGAAATTTAAAGGGGTTTTTCCAAAAAGAAAGTAAAAACTCATCATTAACTTTTTCTTTTCTTTTTGCTTTTTCTTTTAGCGAATTAACGGTGCATTGATAAATAACAGGAAGAAATAGGAAAGTAAGAAGCTTTTAGTGTTGTGTTTCAATGGAGTTTCAGGGTTTTGAGTTGGGAGTTTGAAGTCACGGGAAATAACAGGAAGTTTTATGATTGGTCTTTGCAGATCACTATGCATAAAGTTGAAATATATGCAAAATAGATTGTCACTATGCAAAATATATGCAAACATAGAATGTCATTATACAAAAAAAATATATTAAATACACTGTCACTATACAAAACTATACTAAATAGACCGTCAATATACAATTTATATACAATAGACTGCCACTATACAAAATATATATAAAATAGACTGTCACTATACAACCTAGACTGTTACTATACAAAAAATATACAAAATAGACTATCACTATACAAAAAATATGCAAAATAGACATTTCGTGCTATTAGATGCAATATATTCGGGCCGAATGGCCATTTCGAATCAATGAAAAAAGGAACTTTACATTCCTATACACTATATGAAACTATATTACCCTCCCTACTCAAGTTTTACTATAATTACATTTTATATACCCAATTACCATTTATGTACATTTTAAGGGAATTAATGATAATAATTAATGTCCTAAAATTACTCTAACATATCTTCCACTCCCCCACGTTTCTCTCTCCACATCTCACCTTACCCCCCCCCCCCCCCCCCCCGCCCCGTATCTTGCACAAGAGAGTAGCAATTCCACCATTGACAACCATTAAAAAGCTTTGAAGCTTTGAATTCGAATTTTGGTTTTCAAAAAACATTGTTTGCTTGAATTGGATGTTGTTGCAAAGAATTGAGAATTCTCTTTACGTCTCTCTCTATCTCTCAATCCCAAATTTCAGTAATGTAAAACAAAGGAAAAGAGAGTAGCAATTCCACCATTGACGGCCATTAAAAAGCTTGAAGCTTTGAATTCGAATTTGAATTTTCAAAAATCATTATTTGTTTGAATTGGGTATTGTTGCAAATAATTGGGAATATGGTTTTGAGTTTATATCTCAATTTTGAGGGGTTTTGGTGAAGATTAGACTTGGTTTTGGCTGAATTTCGGATTGAAACTCGAAGAAGAAGAAGAAGAAGAAGAAGAAGAAGAAGAAGAAGAAGAAGACGAAGACATGACATACATTATACTACAGAAATTGTAGTAAAATTGTAGAAAAATTGTATTCTGTTGTTTATATATTTTTCTTTTATGCATTTAACTATTGTATGAAAGTTGAACAACATTGTATAAAAATTATATTTAAGTTGTATGATATTGTAGTTATATATAACTGAGTTGAAATAATGTATGAAAATTATAGATAAGTTGTATAATATATAATTAGTTGTATGAAATTTGTTTTTACTATGTATAAATCAGATACAAAATATATAAAAGATATATTGTATAAACTTTGTATTTAAGTTGCATGTTATTATAGTTATATTTAACTGGGTAGAAATAATGTGTGAAAATTGTAGATAAGCTGTAGATAAATTATATAATATATAATTAGTTGTATGAAATTTATTTTTACTATGTATAAATTAGATATAAAACATATAAAAGACATATTGTATAAAAATTGTATTTAAGTGGTATTATATTGTAGTTGTATATAACTGGGTAGAAATAATGAAAGTTGTAGATAGGTTGTAGATAAGTTGTATAATATATAATTAGTTGTATGAAATTTATTTTTACTATGTATAAATCAGATACAAAATATACAAAAGATATATTTTATAAAATTGTATAAAAATTGTTTAGTTGTATCGAAGTTCGTTTAGAACAGAATAAAAAGAACGTATAGTGCCTTGCAGCTTAAGTCCAAGCTCTCACAGCTACTACCACCACATGTTCTGGATTTCTACTTTCCTTAGAACTGGCAACTGATACTCCTATATTAAACTAGCATAACGCAAAACTTATACAATGATAAAAGGATGGCGAGACTACTTCTTCATAGCACAATAATATTGGCATTGGAAGCAATTCAATATTAAAAATTTCTGAGGATAATCGACAAATTCTTTTCTTTCCGCAGCTTCTTTTTAGTCAACACAATCATTCAAGCAAGTAGTGTTATATATAAAGACACGAATTATTATTCCTGACAGATAACATCTAAAACGGAAATCATTTTCGCACCAACTACTCTAAGGTAAGCTCTTTACAAGAACTCTTATCCCCTTAATTTGTCTTCTACAAATATCTATCTAAGATACTGGTTGTCATTGGAATTTTATGTAGAGCCAAGATCTAATCATATATAAGAGAGAACTGATCATTAAGGAGACAAATGGACGTCAGATTCAAATCAAAATGCGTGTGTTTTCATCTAGTATTGATCTTCTGAAGTCCGTGTCATTTGAGCCTAATGAGGACTTGGATCTACATAGATTCACGTCATTTTACGTACTATTTTAATCCTTTCGACACTGATCTTTTTCTTTCTTTTCTCTTTTCACAGTGTAACTAAATCCCTTAATTGAAGGCACTAATAATGGATTGGGAGCCTTTTAAGTTGGGATGTATATATTTTGTAAACAAAACTTATGTAGGTAGGGTAATTTACTAAACATAAACATTTAGGGTAATAAAGTTTTCAATTGTTCGGATAACTAATTGTGATAATACTGATGTGGGCTAGTAGTGTGGGCTAGTTTTGTTAGTTATTAGCTTGGGTTATATTAGTTTGGGTTATATTCTGTAACTGGGCCTGGCCTAATTTGTAGTTATGCTTTTCCATTGTAGTTAAGACAGAGTGGGTTATTTTGTACAGAGAAGATAGAGTTCTTCTTCTAGAATATTCGTTCTCTGAAACTCTCTCTCGTTGATAACTGTAAAATTTAGCCATGGATGATCAAATTCAAGCTTGAGTTCGCATTTCTAACATGGTATCAGAGCGGGAAGCATTAATTCTGGCCTTTCAATCCTTTTTCCGATGCTAAGCTCGTAGCCATTCATTCAAATCTTCTTAATTTCGCACCTAAGATCGTTTTTTGGTTTTTACTTCAAATTCGTTCTTCCGTCTCTCGATTTGAGGTTCGAACGTCCTGGTTTCTTCATAAATTGTGAGATTCTTCGTCAAATTGTGAGAATCTCTGCGTCGATTGGAATTGTTCGGATATCTAGGGTTTTGATTGTTGATTTCCATCTGGCTGAGTTCATCTGGTGTGTTAGGGTTTCTCATTGGAGCTCATTTTCGAAGATTAGGGCTCCTCTATTGCTGCTAGAAGGCCGTCTCCTTCCGGTCGAGAAGGTGTTGGTAACATCGTCTCTTTCATCGTCTATTTTTTTTAATCGTTGCTGCTCTATTTGATATTGTGTGGGATTGACCTTTCATTCGCTATGACGATCACTCCTTTTGATGGCACTAGCTATGGAAGCTGGCGTCGAAATATTCTGGTGGCTCTGTCTGTACGCAATAAATTGGATTTTATAAATGGCACTACTGAAAAACCACCTGTTGGTTCCCCTTTAGTCAGGCAATGGCAACGTTGTAATGATTTAGTTGTGTCTTGGCTGACCAATTCTCTCACCAAGGAGATTTCTCATAGTGTTGAGTATTCAGAACTAGCTAAAGACATTTGGCATAAATTAGAGGAGAGATGTATGGCTGATGGTGCTAGAATTTTTGAACTTAAGGAGGAGTTATCTCACATTTCTCAGGGTCCTTTGGACATTGCCTCCTATTTCAACAAAATAAAATAACTTTGGGATGAAATAGCTTCCATTTCTGTTAATCACCTCTCTGTATGCACATGTGGGGGAAATAAAAAGGTTGAGGAAGAGCAGAAGGTATACCAATTCTTAATGGGACTCAATGATACTTACCTCCAAGTCAGAAGCAATATCTTGATGATAAAGCCCCTTCCTTCTATGAGTACAATTTATGGGATTCTACTAAGTGATGAGAAACAAAGGCAAGTATCCTCCATTTCTCAGTTTCCTTCAAACTCAAACTCTGCTTCTTTTAATGCTGGAGTGTCCAAACAATCCCTCCCCTCTAAGGTGAATTTCAATCCTCAAAGACCAGACAATCAAAGGTCCTCTCTCATTTGCAAATACTGTAAGAAACCAGGGCATTCTATTGAAAAATGCTACAAGCTGCATGGTTTTCCTCAAAATTTCAAGTTCACTAAAGGTAATACACCTAGGAGAACTGCAGCACACGTTGAGGTTCAAACTCCTGTTAACTCTGATGAGACTGGAAATGCTGGTGGTCTTGTCATGCATGCTGAATCTGAGCAGCTTTGCACTTTGCCTGGATTGACTAAAGATCAATACTCCTAGTTGATCAGTCTGCTTCAACAGTCTCAAATTTCTGCTTCTTTTGCTGCTCCAAATCTTTTGGCTTCTGCTAATTTTGCTGGTAAGTTGTTGCCTGAGAATGGTTTGTTCAGAACTTGTTTACTTACTAAAATAGAGAATACTATTTGGATCATAGATTATGGAGCATCTGATCATATGACCTTTGATAAATTCCTTCTCTTTGATATTCAGACTCTACCCATTCCTTAGTTTCTCTTCCTAATGGTTATAAAGTTAGAGTTACCAATATTGGTTCATTAACTTTGTCCCCTGATCTTACTCTTCATAATGTTCTTTATGTCCCTAGCTTTCAACACAATCTCATTTCTGTTTATAAGTTGGTTGAAAAGCCAGGTGATATAGTTCAATTTACCAATACTGCATGTACTCTACAGGGCCCTTCACTGAAGAAGCCAGTGGTGCTTGGTAGACCAGACAATGGGCTTTACAAGTTGTTTCAACTTCCTGCAAATTCTGGCCCTTTGTGTTGTCATGCTACTTTACCCAATGTTTTTCCTTGTTATATTCCTTGTAATCCTTCCTCTACTGTATTTCCTAGTGCACCTAGTAGTACTGGAAGCTTGTCTATTGATCATACTAATGGAGCCACTGTTGCACATATAAAGTGAATAAAGAGGATGTTATTTGGCATTACAGACTTGGGCATTTGTCTTTTTCCAAAATGAAATCTCTTTCTGCATGCAATCCACATTTGTCTTCTAAACAATCTCTTTCTTGTCCTATTTGCCCTTTAGCCAAACAAACTAGATAAACATTTCCTGATAGTTCAACACAATCAACTGCTCCTTTTCAATTAATACATATAGATACTTGGGGACCCTACCATGCACCCACATATACTGGATCCAAATATTTTTTGACCATAGTTGATGACTATACTAGAGCTACTTGGACCCATCTCCTAGGATCCAAAAGCGATGCCTTTGATATGTTGAAAGCCTTCATTGCCATGGTAGAGACCCATTTTCACACCAAGGTGCAAATTGTAAGAAGTGATAATGCTTTGGAGTTGGGGTCTAGTATTTCTGGTTCTCAATACTTCTCTGATAAAGGAATTGTGCATCAAACCTCTTGTCCCCATACTCCTCAATAAAATGGGATCGTGGAGAGGAAGCATAGACACTTGCTTGATACTGCTAGGGATTTACTTTTTCAGTCCCATCTTCCCATTAGATTCTGGGGTGATTGTATCTTGACAGCTACCTATTTGATGAACAGGTTTCCTTCTCCCCTTCTATCTCACAAGAGTCCTTTTGAACTTCTTTATGGTAAGCCGCCTTCTTACTCACATCTTAGAGCTTTTGGATGTCTTTGTTATTCTACTGTGACTAAGCCTCCTAGGGATAAATTCCAACCAAGGGTTGTACCATGTGTGCTTGTGGGGTATCCTTTTGCCAAGAAAGGCTACAAGTTGTACAATATGGAGTCTCATTCTTGTTTTGTTTCTAGGGATGGTATTTCATGAACACATTTTTCCTTTTCTCCAATCTTCCTCTGTCTCTTCTAGTATGTGTCCTTTCCCTTTCTCTGCTTGTTTTGATGATTTACCTCCTTCATCTCACCCTGTTCATACTCATTCCTTGGGTGCAAGCCCTATCTCTTCTTCTTTTCCTTCCCTCTCTCCTGCTTCCATTCCTTATGTTCCTTCTGTTTCCACTCCCCCTTCTTCCTCTTCTGCACATTCACCTTCACCTTCTTCATCTCATTCTCCTCATTCATCATCTTCATCTCCTGAACCTCCTCATTTAAGAAGGTCCACTAGGGAACACAAACAGCCTGCATATCTTCAAAGTTATGTCTGCAACTCAGCTTCAGTTGACTCCACATCTGATCCTCCACCTCCTATTTCTAATCAGTTGCCTGTTCTTGAGCCTTCAACTTATTCTCAGGTAGTAGTTGTTCCAGAATGGCAGGATGCCATGAGAGCTGAATTTGAGGCTTTAGAAGCCAACAACACATGGCAGGTTGTTCCTTTTCCCCTTGGGAAGAAGCCTATAGGCTACAAATGGGTTTATAGGGTTAAGTGTAGAGTTGATGGTAGAATTGAAAGGTATAAGGCTAGGTTGGTGGTTCTGGGTGATACTCAAGTTGAAGGTATTGATTTTCATGAAACTTTTTCTCCAATTGTAAAAATGTCTATTGTCAAGACTCTTGTTGCTGTGGCAATTAAGAAGTGATGGCCCCTATTTCAATTGGATGTTAATAATGCTTTCTTGCATGGTGATCTGGATGAGGAAGCGTATATGAGACTTCCTCCTGGTTTATCTGTTTCTTCCCCTTCTTCTTCTGTTCCTTTAGTGTGCAAATTGCAGAAATCTCTTTATGGTTTGAGGCAAGCATCCAGACAATGGTATGCCAAACTATCACAAGCATTACAGTCTAGAGGGTACCACCATTCCTACAATGACTATTCTCTGTTTACCAAGGGTTCAGGTGATTCCTTGGTTATTATAGCTGTGTATGTGGATGACATTATCTTAACTGGAACTGATATGCATGAAATTACTGCTTTAAAGTGCTTTCTTCATGACCAATTTAAAATAAAGGATTTGGAGCTGCTCAATTATTTTCTTGGGATTGAGGTGATGTACACTCCATCTGGTGTTTTCCTTCATAAAAAAAATTTATCAGTGATTTGCTAAAGAGTTTAATTGTGATGTTTGTACCCCTGTTGTATGTACTCTTGAATTGAATGAGAAACTGATGGCATCTGTTGGTGAACCTTTGCCCAATCCTGAAGTATACAGAAGCCTCATAGGGAAGTTGAACTTTCTCACTCACACCAGGCCAGACCTCTCATTTGTTGTGCAACACCTTAGTCAATTTATGCAGAAACCTTGTGTTCCTCATATGAAGTCTGCCCTCCATTTGCTGAGGTATCTGAATGGTACTTCTGATCTTGGGATTTTCCTTAATAACTCCTCAGATTTTTCTGTCCAGGTTTATGTGATAGTGATTGGGGGTCTTGTCCTGATAGCAGAAGATCAGTGACTGGTTTCTGCATCTTGTTGGGTGGCAGTTTGGTTTGCTGGAAATCTAAGAAGCAACCAGTTGTTTCTCTATCTTCAGCTGAAGCTGAATATAGGTCTTTAAGCAAAGCTGTGGCAGAGGTCACATGGTTAGCTAGACTTTTGGCTGATTTTGGCTTGACTGACATCTCTTCTATTCCCGTTTAGTGTGATAACCAGGCTGCAATTCACATTGCCAAGAACCCTGTGTTCCATGAACGGACCAAGCATATTGAGCTGGATTGTCATTTTGTTCGCACCAAGTTGGCTGATGGTTTGGTCACTCTGCTCCATACTTCCAGTTCCACTCAAATGGCTGATGTCTTCACCAAAAGTCTGCCTGGTGCTGCCCATCATTCCCATTTGTCCAAGTTGGGTGTTTTATCAGACTCCAACTTGAAGGGGGGTGTTCAGATAACTAATTGTGATAATACTGATGTGGGCTAGTAGTGTGGGCTAGTTTTGTTAGTTATTAGCTTGGCTTATATTAGTTTGGGTTATATTCTGTAACTGGGCCTGGCCCAATTTGTATTTATGCTTTTCCATTTTAGTTAAGACAGAATGGGTTATTTTGTACAGAGAAGATAGAGTTCTTCTTCTAGAATATTCGTTCTCTAAAACTCTCTCTCGTTGGTAACTGTAAAATTCAGCCATGGATGATTAAATTCAAGCTTGAGTTTGCATTTCTAACACCAATAATATATAGGAATGAAAAAATCCCATGAAAAAAAATATGGGCTATTAAAATTTTGAGGGGTTATAAAGGGTAATTTTCTCTTGAGTTGACCGCCAATGCTGAACACGGGACAAGCCCAAGGAGCCCCAGATTCATTGGGCCAGATACTATTTGAAGGGTGATTTGCACAAATACGATCATTCATTCGACGTTGCCGTTTAAAATTGAGAAACTTTCAGAAATCACTATGTTTTAGTTGTTATTAGCTAGTTGTAGCTACCATTTACTATGTTAGTTCCTATAGCTATATTTTCAGGTTTTTTAGAGTATATTGGATGTATTTAAGCTACTGTATTCATGAATACAGTAGCATTTCTAAGCGTGAAACATGGGATTACAGCTAGACAGATTTTTGTATTCGAGTGTATTCGACTGTATTCATGGCGTGAAACATGGGATTACAGCTGGACAGATTATTTTATTTGACTGTATTCGACTGTATTCATGATATGTATTTGTGAATACAGTAACGTAAATAGCGTAATTCATGGCCTATTCAGCTGTTCTTAAACGCAAAGTGAATCAATTAACATAATAGACTCCTAATATAACTCAACAAACTCAATTATAACACACAAAATTTGTATTTTCAGTTATAGAAAAGATTCTCAACCGAAAAACACCCCAAAAACATAGCAATCTTCAGAGAAAATGTACTGAATATTTTTCCCAGCCGATAAATACAACAAAAACATAGCAATTTGAATACATATATACATCTGAATACATAAATTATTTTAATTGAAAAGATATATGAATACATTCACGGAATACAGCGAGGCAGTGAATACAATGAAATACATGGAATACAGCGAGATACATTGAAATACAATGAAAAAAAAGACAATGAATTAATACAATAAAATACATGGAAATACAGCGAGATACATTGAAATACATTGAAATATATCAACAGAAAATTCAAGTTGCTCAGCCCCAAAATCCGTCGTCTTTGTTCAAGAACAACCCTAATGTCGTCTCGCCGTCACCGTTGCCTCCGGTTGCCGTTGTTACACCAGAGAAAATTTTTATATCGGATGATTGCTCGGCAGCCCAAAAGTCTTCACCGGAAAACTTTAATTCTGATGCTTTGCCGGAGAGTTCTGGTAGTGCACGATATGGTCCAAAAATTTTTTGTCACCTCGTTGGCAGTGATATTCCGATGCGAAAAAATTTCTGCCGGTCGGCGGCGGCGATGCTCTCTCCTGAGGTATTTAAGGTTCGTCAACTACTCAAAGTTTTCCTCGTCCCTCTTTTATCTTCTGCCCAAAATTTTGTTGACGGGGATAAGCATATTATGCCCTAGTGTAGTTTTATATTCTGATATTGATGTTTTTGTAAAATTCACTCATGAAACATCTGAAACATTTTTGAATATGAACACGTACAGTATATCCTGCGTGGCCTTTTGTGTTTCTTCTCCTTTGAATGTAATGCTTTGCCGGAGAGTTCTGGTAGTAAGATGAAGGTGGAAGATGAGAGAGAGAGGGGGGAGAGAAATGAGGGGATAGGAGAAATTTGAGTGGAGAGAGAAAAATAATACAAAGCTTATTTTATGGCTTAAGGGTAGGAGATGACCATAAATAGATATTTGGCTATAAAAAATCAAAAGGTAGCTATGGAATATAATTTTTTAAAAAGGTATTTATTTAAATAAATAAGGTATCAGCCTTTGCTATAGGAGATAACTAATCCTTTAAAATTTGACTCGATAAAAGAAGTCTTGAGAAAATAACCTCCAACCAGAATTTAGAGAAGCGCTTCTGACAATGGTCAGATTTTTTTTTCAAATTTTGTGGAAAATTCTGGCGATCAATATATGTAAAATTCTAGTGATATTCATATTTTGTAGCAAATTCTGGTG